ATAGTAAGGAATTGAAAGCGATTGCCGATAAAATCATCAAAGAGGAACTGAATCGTGCCAAAGTCGCCAAGTTTGGAAAATCTGGCAGTCGATCTTACGATGTGCGTGGGTGTTCTCGTGTTTTCCACTTTTTTCTTTTTTCTCAACTGATGATCACATTTATGTGTGAAAGACTTGAATAGCTACAGTATTCTACATCGATTACTAAGGCTTATCGGGTATACGCTGGTAGAAATTGCATACGAAATAACTTTTCTCCTCAACAAACCATTTTTCATAGCATGCTATGCAAAATATATTGCAGAAAATAAAAAGTGTTCCAAAATTCTTCTTCAACAGATCGATTTCTTTATTTAATGGATAAATCATTACCTTTGATTTAAACTTCTTCATAGTATTCGCGTAGTTCCGTGCTTTCTAGATGAGCTAAGTTGAAAAAAAAATAAGAAAAAAATAATTAGGTGAAAATTTAAACTAAACGTTTTAAAAGCAAAATTAATATAATGTGTGGTGCAGAACTGTCTTGAACAACCAAAAAATAGTTATCAATAAGGACGACATCGGGAAGCAGTCAATTTTCTGGTGTAAAAGGTCACAGAAACCAGTTCATGCACCGTTAGTCTAAGTTTTCAGCTATATGGAATGCTATTGAAAATCTTAGTATTTTAAAAGCCTGACAAATGCTGTCGTTGCAAAGCCACAAGCCACGTTTGGGATGTTTTTTAAACTTTTCTTCGTCGTTAATGGCTTGTATCACCCATCTAGGCATAATGAGTGAATGGGAAGAAACTTCCCAGTGAAGATGTTTCGGACAATTTCCAGACATGCAATCAGATTAGCAAATGAATCATAGTGCCAGTTCTTTGCTCAAGAATGGGAAAGGGAATATCACAGTTTTATTCGTCGGAGTTCCTCGCTAGTACCGTTCTATGGTCACTCATATTAATAGAAAGATGCATGACAGTGTGTTTAGATTCTTGCTGCTGTCAGGTAAAAGCAACTTTTTCTCCGCTGAATGTCATGTTTACATAGTTGACATCCGTCGACCGTAGATGATATGGAGGTAGAAGACTAGGAAAGTTCTTTCTCTTTCTTTGCATTCTCGAACGCGTCTATAAGCTAACAATATAATGAAGAGAAAGGTACGACACATTGTGCCCGAATGGGGGGAATCTAGTATTAAAATAAGAATGATGAAGTATGAGAATTAGAATAAGTTTTCACATGGCTATTCCAGGTAATTCTTTAGATCAAGTGTACGGATGCATATGTAACTTTAATGCGCGTGCTTTGCTTTTCGTCTAGTGTTCTGTCAATCCCGCTTAGGATGACTCGAGTGAAAAGTTTGTAAACGACAGACAGTAAGCAGATTGGGCGATAGTTGCCGATATCGTGTAGGAACCCCTTCTTGAACAATAAAAGGGTCTCACTGGCGTTCCACTGTGTAGGGACCTTGTATTCCCCCAAATGCTACGCCCAATCCGTCTTTTGACGTCAATGTTAATATCGTTGTAAAATGGTGATATCTTGGCTGTGAAAATTATGCACAGTTCACGAACAATCTTTATGTACTGGTTAGGGACTCTTTGACTATCAAGGGCTTCCATGACTGCTTCTATCTCAACTGAGTCAAAGGTCTTTTTTAAATCGATGAAAGTGAGATAGAGCGCTCTTATCTGCTCTCGCAAAACTTCAGCGAGACCTGTTATCGTGTGGATGTGGTCCACCGTACTAAATCCTTTTCAAAACCCTGTTTGCTCACATGGCTGCCTTTCATTCAGTTTTCTGCCAAACCAGTTTAGGACGACACGAGTGAGAAGTTTGTAGCCGATAGAGAGCAAGCAGATTGGGCGATTGTTGCCGATATCGTGGAGGTCACCCTTCTTCAACATTAGCACGGTCTTGGTGCTCTTCCAATGAGTAGGGACCTTGCACTCAGACGGGTAACGTGAGAACAGCGAGGCCAGGGTGCTTACGAGAACAGGCGGAAGGTTTTTTAGGTGTTCTTATGTTATACTCTCCGGACCTGGTGCTGTTCGATTTTTCACCGACGAAATGGCATGTCGGATTTCGGAAGGAGAACCGGTTCTTCAACACATCCATCCTCTTTTATTTCATTTGACGGAAGGTGGACGTGGCAATCGAAGAAATCTGAGTAACATTCGTGGATGATTTTCTCCATTGCCTTTCTGGACGCTGTAACTGCTCCGTCTGGACGTTGGAGTGCAATCATCTTGGTCTTCTAGTTGGCGAAGCTTCGGTGGGCTATGCGAATGCCTTTCCCAGCCTCTGCAGCTTTGACCATTACTACTGTTCTTCTTTCTTCAAGATTTTTTTTATCGCCTGTCTGCATTGTTTTGCAAGTTCGGACGTTAGTTCGCGGTTGCCTGTAGCTCGTGCGATTCCATGCTGGCGTATCAGCTCGAGTGTTCCTGGAGGCAGACGTCTCTTGGCGACTTTCAAACTCTCAGCTTTCATAACGCTAACGTGAAGATGTTGAATGAACCGATCGTATTCTTCGTCGATGTTATCGACAATGGCATCTTTCCAATAGCCGACTAATGAACCGAAGAAGTCCCAGTTTATAGTGGTTTTGGGGATTCGTTTTTTGAATTTCGCTGTTTTTTCTCCTTTCCGCGAGAGATAGAATCTTGCATGAAGAAGACGATGGTCTGACTGATCCCCTGTAGAATTTTGGGACAACAGCGACACGGTTAGGCAAAACCTATTTACTAAGATCTGGCCTATTTCGTTATGGTACTCTCCATTGGGAGACTCCCACGTCCAGCGTTGGGAGTGGCGCTTCTGGAATTGCGAGTTACCATGAATGGTCTTGGTCGCCATGATAAACTCAGTTAGCCGTCTCACCCTGTTCATGCCATTCTAATGTGGGTTCCAATGTGATATTCTTCAGCTTTTCTTCTTGGTCCAATCTTGGTGTTGAAATCTCTAATGATGACCTTGAAAAATGTATGGTCTTCTCTGTAGAACTTCTCCAAGTACATATAGAAAGCTTCGACTTCTTCTTCGTCTTAGTTTGATCTTAGTTCGTAAGCGACGAAGATTGTCAAAGCCAGAATTGATCTATGTCTTTTTAATCCTAAACGCTCGACTCGGGTTGTAAGTTGTTCGAATGAATCGATGTTCACGCACAAACTCGTGTTGATGAGAACGCCGACTCTTCTACTGTCGCATGTTCCGAGGAACAGTTCTTTTCCGGTGCCATAGACGGCGCTGAAAGGCTGGCGTGTTCTCGTTTCGGCCAGGCCGATGACGTCGTATCTTATCCTTCTTGCTTCCATAAACAACTCTTTTATCGAGGACTCGGAAACAGGTTTACGTGCATTGTAGGTACTAGGTACAGATCGTCACCATAGTTCTTTGAAATCTAGGCAGTTTCCAATGGTCCTGAGATTTGAGCAGCCTCTCCGTACTCGTCTTACCCAACACTGCGAAATTGGGAGCTCTATCGGGGTTAGAGGAATGAGGCCTGTTTTTCTTACTGTGTTTAGCATTCTTGATTCCCAAGTATAGCTTTCTGGGCTCTAAACGTGGGCGCTGGGTATACTCACAGACAGCTTGCCAGGCTCTCCCACAGTGGACATAGAGCTTATTTGTTGGAGGCGACTCCTAACCGCCTCCCATATGCTTCCCAATCACCTGATTGCAGGCTTTTGGCCGAATTGACTCGTAGAATACAATCCGCATGAGCGAGAACGCACCCACACACGCATGCATGAATACGCCTGGCAAATACAGAAAGCATGTGCCAAATCAGCGATGCAGAAATAGGGAGTCCATCCTCTGGATCCACCAACGTCTCAGGAAAGTAAAGGCCGCTTTTGGTCTGCGATTAATCCCCTATCCGCCACCTGGGGACGCGCCTCGTAGCTTCGCGACTAACCAGCTCGAGATCCCTCATATGAGGGAGATCTGTGGGGTTTGTTCTCATAAAACATAATATGAAAGCGGGCTTACCTTTAGCTGTTCAGTTACATCTGATCGATTTACGATTTCGGAAAAAGGAACGATTAAGGGAATGCTGATGGTTTTGGATAGCAGTTGACCAGGAACCGTCCTTTGTAAGAGGATTAGCTCGACTTGGTTAGGTCATTCCAACGCTGCAAAAAACGTTCTGTATAAAATAGAAGTGCTCGCTGACGGCATCTCATTTGCTTTCTACTCTACTCTAGACTACTCCTTTTGAGTTACTGAGTGCCTGTAAAATTTTCACTCCTCCTTATAATATACCATCGTGACGTCGCTCCAACTACTGTGTGTGTATTACTACTAGGGTTTCATACCGTTTCCAACTTCTTTCACTGGGGAACGTTATCACAAGTTACGCTCTAGTCACTGCCATGGCTTACGTTTAAGCGTAGTTAAGCATCGAAATGAAAATGTTAAACTTCTTCTTATCATGAGTTACCCTATTCCAATAACGAATTCTTTGCTTTGCGTCAGAGTCCTGAATTCCCCCACTATCCACAATTCACTGCAGAAGGGTAGAATATAATGGATAATTTGCCCAGATATCTTAAAACCATCCTTAAAATATTTAGCTTAGGAGAAAAAAGCCTAAACTTCGAGAAAGGGTGCATCAACTTCAAAATTTGGCGGGAATGCTATAAAAGAAAACTGCTTCTCAATACTCAGCCAGTTCTATAAAACGCAACCACATCTACATAATTTCTTAGTCTTTAGTGATGAAAATCTTAGAATCCAATTGATTAATGTGTGTAACCGTCATATTGTTGTCGTTAATCACTATGAAAAATCAACTAGTAGAGGTCAATCAGCACATTCATAGACCGTTTTTCGTCAACATTGTTACCTTATTCTCCGAACATACAGCAAGATAGGAAGAACGAAGCCGGTCTACAGAGAGGTTCTCAATTTTGGGCTTCGTGGGAGCAATCTATTCAATGGTCAACACCATCGAGATGGTGAACCAGTTTGGCATTAGCACAAAACGAGAAATCAACTACACTTAGCTGGTAATGTTGGCCATTTACAACAGGATACGCATCCACATTGATGTGGTCCGTCAAGAAGAACGTTTGGTTGAGCTTATTACGATGGTAATAACATTCATGCAAAGAAAACAGTGAATTACAACGAGAGACACCATTGATGATAAATTTGTTCTAGGCAAACAACAGTGGACAACGAGCAACATCTAGCACTACAGAAATCGAGCACAGTGGATATTCAGATGGTTTGTTTTAAATAGATAATTAAATAGTGCGATTTCTAATACGCATTAATAATAAGCTTCAGAATGGAGAACACTAACCGAGTGGTACTTAACTAACAATAAGGTGGCCGAGTTTCCTCAAGGCTATGACGGTATGGCGTCTTATTTTAGTCAACACTACATCTATATTGGGTGCCTATTTAAAAAATGTAAACCATCGTTACCAGGAAAGTAGGCAATTTTAAGTCGACCGGAATATCTTTGTTATTTTGCTGAAGTCTCTTTCTGCAATCGAAGATAGAGTAGAAAAGTATAAACAACAGATACTTTAGCTCTCTCTATACAAATTCTTAACAAAATCCTATAAGTCTCTCCGTGTCAGCGACGCGACATATAGTTAGAGATTCCTACGGATGGTGTTCTTTTTCTACAAGGGCGAGCTAATGTTTTCAATTCATGGGTGTTTCTGTGCATAACTTAGAGTATGTGTGTGTACGTGTATTGTGTTTGCCTCTGTGTGTACGAACTTAGGTTGTAGATTTAACACCTTACAACTACGTATATGCAGTGATTATTTTATGGTTATCCGCAGTGATAAGCTTCATTATTGGTGTAGCTCGGCGTGGTACTACAAGATTTCGCCGATGTTCTACTTGCTTTACAATTTTGATCCTAAATCGCATTCATGTGTGGGCTCAAAAATTACACCAGAAATAGGGGTCACTGGTTTATACAAGCAACTATAGCAATGTCAGCTAGCTGTATAACATGAGGATTTAATTCATTAACACATTTTTTAAATCCAGGTCTCATTCCAAAGTAAGTTTTTATTAATTCCGGTAAGTTATTTGATCGTTTAAGGTCTCTCAACACTCCCAATACAATCGCTGGACAACCTCAGGTTGGAGCTCAGTAATGAAGTAACAGAAAATCATGTTACTTTTCCGCCAGTGATTGCCGTAAGCGCATCGGTCCGCTCTCCGGTCGTTCATCTCAATACCACAACTACTAAGCCAGGTTGCCCTATTTTAACAGAAAATAAATTTGAATAACACCTTTTGTTGTTTTCTAATTTTTCTAGCAGCATTGCTAAACTCTATCACCATTGACATTTCTCGGCCACAAACACGTTTTCGTTTTCAATTCACCACATATACTCGTGAACACACCACCTAGCAACTGAAACAGATTTCTGAATAGCGTACTGTGGATGCTTCACTACACTTGTCTAGGCTACTTCAGATTTATGCTTTTTAGCCTTTGAAAATCTTTCAAGTATTTTCAGAGGCAGTCCCGTCTTTTGATGGTGTTCTGTCACACGGATCAACTGCCGAACTTTCGAACCCTCGTGTTTTGGAATATCCATTATCGAAGACCAGATATGTTGACGGGGCTGTCACTGGTCGTCCCTGCTCTCCGTGCACAGGTCCGGAGAACGAATCACCTTTTTTACCTGCAACGACCAGGCTTGCCACGCTATTGCAATCGTACTCATCTATTCAGTCTCTGAACCCCACTCTGCTACCGCCAACTGGTCAAAACAGTCGGGTTTCTGACGAGCTAACCGCTGACACTATATCCATCTCCAGTTTTATTGCACAGACACCTAAGGCAATATTGTCTCTACCATCTACATCTTCATACACTAAGGTGATGATTGAAGTGTCACCCACTTTACAGACCACTTCAGCTAACTATCTGTATCCCCGAGAATCGGAGTTGTCGTCTGCACCATCGGCACCGTCTGTGCTTTCATCAGTGACTTCAAAACCGGCATCAAGCGCTCTCATTAGCTCAGACAGAAATCCTGTTGAATATGAAAGTGAGCAATCTCAACAAAAAATTTTCAAAATACAAGTTGTCATAAATAAAGTGCGCATTACGATCTTCGCAGCTTGTAAGAAAAGGGTAAGTGGTTTTTGAACTGCTGAAGTAACACATTCTTAGCAGGTTATCAGAAGTAAAATGAGTGCTTGCAATGGTAATTTTCGTTTTCTTTTAAGAACGCGGTTAGGTCATTTGTATTTCTGAAGACTGAAAACGAGACGTAGAGCTTTTAGGTTAAAGACAGAGCTTTTCGAAATTAAATGTTTCAGCAGCAACTTCACCTTCATCTACACCACAACTTCAAATCTACTCAACGCATACAACATATCCATCTTCAATAGAGCCACAATTACCGAAGGACTATTCGATGCAATCAGAAAAACTTGACATAGAGGAACCAATGGGCTCCAGAAACGAGCTATCTCTTGATAGCTATGGCAGCATTGAGACGTTACCATCCCTGCAGACGTCAGAATATTTCACCGAGATGCCATCAACACCCATTTATCCGTCTACATCACCTCCACCACCTTCTCCTTCTTTGCTCAAATTTTCTCGACCAGCTCCAACAGCTGTAACGTCTTCTACCTATCTTCCTGAGCCTTTTCGAACAGCCTTTCCTCAACCACCACCTTCTACACATCCGCCTAGACCTTCTCAACAAGGCCCACCGCTTCCACCGCTTCCACCGCTCACTGATTCGTTGCCTAGTTCTCGACCAGTTCCACCACTTATAGCGTTCTCCACATATCTTCCTGAACCTTTTCGAACAGCTTCACCTCAACCGCCCGCTTCTACCTATATAACTGGAGATTCTCAACAAGGTCCACTGCTTCCACTGTACACCGGCTCGTTGCCTGATTCTCCTCAAACTGTTCCATCACTTACCCGTTCTTCTCCCTCTCCACCTGGACCTTTTCGACCATTTCCACTATTACCATCGCCTAGTGGCTCTTTACCTTATCTTTCTCTACCAGGTCCACCACCTTCTTCTTTTGTTCTCCAAAATCTTCGACCAGCTGGGTTTTTTACATCGACTTCTTCCTCTCTAACCAAACTTTATCCACCTTATCCATTGCTTATTCCATCATCTCCATTAGGTCCGCATACCCCTAAGGAGGAATTGCATTCATATTCAGGATACTCTATTACTGAAGAACCAACCAATATTGAAACAAAATCTGCTTCTATAGCTGATATTTATTTGGAGGAAACTAAGTTATCCAGTACAGGACACACCCCACTTTCCTCTTCTCCTTTTAGCACCTACTCCAGAAACACCAATATAACTCTTACAGCCACTTTGACTCCATCGTCATTATATTATCAAAAGCAATGGGAAACAACGGAATCAAGTGCTTTTTTGCAAGGAACCAGTAAATCGGATGAAAGCGGCAACTCAGATTTCGAAGGAGACCACATTGGAGCAGGAGCACAAGATCTTTCATCGACACCTACAGCACATAAAGAAACAATTCCAGCCCAGTCCTTTAATACTGTAGAAAATCCTGTGCTTGTGCCCGAACAATCAGCATCAGGAGCAGAACTGGAACAAAGTGTTATGGAACCATCGGTTAGTCAAGAAGAAACGCTGCCTTCCCAGTCATTCACTACCTATAGAGGCGACAAGTCCTTTACATCGCCATCAACCGTGAACACTAATTTGGCTCCTAAATTAGAAAGTTTTACATCTTTCGAAATGATTAATCCACTCTCATCGCCTGCCGTAACACTTCATTCAGAAGAGATTCCGGAGTTGGGAGGTGGTTCACAAGACATAAATGACTTACCAACGGAGAGCTTCAGTGTGTCAGCAATTACAACTAACGTTCCAAAAAAGATTTCACAAGTACCTGAAACAGCTCCAACACTTCCTGAACCTACGGGATCAGGATCAGGTAAAATTGAAGTCGAACCGTCGGATTATGCAAACTTGGAGTTGGATCACGAGGGACCTGACACCGTCATCGACACTGAGACACACATAGTACAGCCATTAAAGTGAGTCAGTGTTTGATCGAAAATTTCATAATTATACCAACTAACCTTTTCAGATAGCGTCTGATTGAACAAAAAATAATTTGTTAAAAGATTTTTTTCCACTCTATCTACACTATTCTCTTCTTTGTAAGTTAAAAAATATTTCGGTATTACTTATATGTTTTAACCCAGATATTTGGTCCTTTTGAGACCTTTGAGATTTAATGTTTTGAATGAAATTTTTTTTTTTAGAATCTCTCCCGGCTCCAATAAAGAGACACAGAGCAAAAATCGTATTCCGGTGAAGACTACGCCATTAATAAGGGTTTCTTGTTATCAAATCATGATTGTATTCTCAGCATATTTTATTCAAGGGTATTGTTTTAAAAAATATACCCACGTATATAAAGTTTTACTTTAATAGGTGAAGCCTTCGACATATAACATTGTAAACCGACCGGTTCGACCAATTTCAACTCAAACATTTCCTTACTTGACACCATCTCAACCAAATTTCCAACAACCAGTCGGACCAGTAGGACCACAACCGTATCCAATTTTTCCTCAGACACGGAATCTCCAACTACCTTATCAGCAACAACAGCAACATAGCCAAGAGGTATGTTGGCTGTTAACTGTTAGCGATTGTTACCGTAATACTTGAATGTTCGATGAGGAATCGAGTTTATCGGTCAAATATATTAAATAGGTTCAAACTTCAGTGATTTTCACTAAAATATAAAATGAGATTGCAATAAAACACAAGGGCCTAAAAGGCAGTTTCAAACGACAACCGATGATTAGGCTGCTTTAACAATTAACTATACTATGTTAAAGTGTAACACGGTTAGCTTTTCCGAAATACATGAAAATGGTAATAAATGTTAACCACAATGTAAATGTTGTCAACCACATGCGGCTATGATCAGCTGTTCTAAGCTTCCTCATTGGAAGCCACGAAAAAAAGCGGCTCTGAAGAAGGCGATACTGGCGAAACGTCAGCTAGCGTTGTATTGTATTGTGTTTTTTTTATGGAAGTAAATGTATGCTGTTTAAAAACCTCGCGATTGCTGAACAAGAAAACGACACATTCATATTCCAATGCCGAGGTTAATAGAAAGTCGATCCTGGCAACTTTAAATGTTAAATTAAAACTTAGCGCGCTTGATTGTTTCCCATAGCAAAATCTTATAGGGTTGCTGTGATGGTAAACTGTTCAACATGCGAGGTGGTCTGTGCATGCCAGTGAACTTCAGCCCTTGTTCGCCGCCTTCTTATCGGCAGCAACCTCTGGCTTCCTATGCACAACAACCGTTGCGGCCACATCCACCTCCTCAGCTATATTTTCAACAACGTTATCAGCAACCGAGTTACGAATGTGGTAGGTGTCTTCGGTTTCGTAAGCTTAGCCCGCTAAGTTCCCAGTAGCTCGCGCGCTGCTTAAGAGTATTGAACTCAAGCGCTATGTGATTGGGTTCGATATTCGGTAAATGGAGATATTCTACTTGAGCGGATAGTTTGTATGAAGAAAGAAACAAGTTCATTTCTAAGACCAAATCTTCAAATTTAAAGCTCAATCACTACTACATCCGACAGCCAAGCTAACACTTTGATTGCCTGCCATTCTTAAGTCATACACCAATATGGTTAGAAATTTCAACATGCTTTCAACACTTATTAGTTTCTTCTGTAATGCTTATATAATTTGAACAACTTTGTTAAATTATTACCATTAACCGTCCAGATATAAAACTGACTAATTTCTTTAGACGAAGGATGCTGCGCGTAGAGGACTAATCGCTGTTCAGCATGCAAGACATATTATTACGTTCTTGCAAATCAATTGTAAAAAGATAACTACTATAATGCTGAGATATTTGCAAAACTCCGGACCGCAGGTGTATGTGGTGGGAAACGAACGCACTATTGTCCTTTCCGGGGAGTAACGCGTTCACCACCACACACCATAACTATAGCCTCAGCTTAAATGGGTTCAATGCCGATTTAGGCTCTCCAGATCAATCCCGCTGACGGGTGACTGCTGATGGCAAATGATCGATAAAACTAGCTGAAAGACAGGCGAAACGAAGGACCCGCATGGTGTGGTGGTGAACGGTTACTCCCCGGAAAGGGCAATAGCGCGTTCGCACCTCACTGCAGACACCTGCAGTCCGGAGATTTGCGAATATCTCAGCATTATAGTAGTTATATTTCGCAAATACCTTGTTGTTAAAAAAATAGGCAGTAAATACAAAGGTTAAAATTGTAAAAAAATAGTTATGTTATTGTAATGTTTTTTGAAATCACTACAGGTGCCTGTTCTCCAACGTGCTTGCAACCCTGTCCTCAACCAATACCACAAGCTCCAACCTGCGGAAGTGGTTCGACTTGTTGTGTGAGTCAAGTGAGCTGATGTTCCATTTGTAAATTCAAGCATTTTGAACACCATGTTCTAGTCGCCTGGGTCATTTTGTATTTGCAGTCTCCTGCATGCTGTCAACCCATGACTTCTTTGTGTTGTAATCAAGTCATTCAGTCATGTTGCCCACCACAACAACAGCAATGCTGCAACACCCAGGTAAATAACGGCAATAAACTAGCATCTGTAAATTAGGTGTTCTGGTTGACAGACAACAAAAAGCCACGGCAGATGTTTCGTTTTCAGGTGCAGTCCTGCTGCTCAGCACCGATTAGTAGTTGCTGTTGTACTTCAAGTCAGCCCGCAATCTGTTCACGGCGCAGTAAACGGTACTTGTGGTACTTGTCTATCCGTCTATCCATTGTTTTAAATTTTCGTTGGTAGTTCCGAATTTCGGTAAATCTAATATACTAATGAAAATTCGAACGATATGTTCGAAAATTCACTGGAATTGCTTGTCAATGATCACCTCCTTCGGCAACCAAGCATAGATTTCTCTACACCTCGCAAAAGATCCTGTTCTTTCTGAGAATTCAAATGTGACTAATCAAATACATTGTACACTTTGTTAACTGAATGTTGAGGTGGTCGAATTTATTCAGACGTTTTCAGGTCGGTTGGACGATTACTTGGACTATGTGGCGCTAACAGACACTAAAACCATTTTGATATAAATTATATCTATTTATTAAAAGTCTACTAATCAAATTATATTAATCTTTAAATGATTTGCATGTGCCTTGCTTTTATTTATTCCTCTTTTTTTCATCAATTCTCAACACTCAACGCTATGAGAGCGTCAATGTCACACCTTCCTGGACAATAGATTAGCATTGTTGTCGATTCTCGAATAATTCAACTGTACATACAAAATTCCCTTAGCGTTTGTCTTCCACGGATTGCTCAACGTAAATTATGTGTGAAAGCAACTATATATCATTAAATACTTAGTTACTTGCTTTGAAATGAATTTCCAGTTGTACGAAGTGTTTATTCTGGCAAGAAAAAACTTATTACGCCAGCGAGATGTAGCTCTTCTACGGGTTGCCACGAAACCGGTTGAAAACAATAGAGAAAAGGCAGACAAGGATTTCTCACTATTCTTAGTAATGCTGATTAATTTCTATTGCAAAAGGGTGCATGCATTATAGTGGTCAAACCTAGCAGGCATACGGTTATTGGCTCAATCTCGCACTACACGCTCGCCAAATCCACCATTACTCGGGGGTGGGAAAATTCGCACCAGATTTTTCTTCGATGGCTGCTCCTTCTATTGAATTCGACTCGGTGCGAGTGCGTACATCCAAATCGCGACAACGACAAGCTTCGGATCATTGACTCGGATCAACGCAGTTCTGAAGAGGGCGAAGGTACCCAGAACGCTAGCCGAATAAAAGTTTTTCTTTTAATACCAACCTTATGCCAGCTCAATCATTCAAAAGTTATTGGTGCCATATCCTTCTGGTATTATAGCTGCACTGAGTTGGCACACTGGGAGGCAGTTGCAGGCCGTTGGAGTCAAATATGCATTAGATTACCTCTACGGTACATTACGAAGTTGAAATCATAGCAAGCCCATTAAGGACTAAGTACAAGCGTTATGGACTGATCGACGCCAAGCCCTTTAATATTCTTCTTCTAAACTATGCCGGTAGTGTTTATGAATGTGATCTGTGATGAGGTATAGCAAGACGTTTATAGATCTGGCAATATCACTAAATACTGAAAACGAAGAGCACACTACCACTCGATAATCCTGCTAGGAGAAAACTTATACAAAGGATTGCCACCATTCTGGAGGAAACCTTGTTATGAGGTGACTGACCTCTTTCCCTTATGTGGTAGCCCAACAGTCACCTTAAAACGACCTAAGAAGCATAAGACCTAATTTTTCCAAAGAGTAACAAAAGCAACCTTTCTAAACCAATATCAAAATAATTAAGTGATAAGTTATAAAGTTATACTCTGTCAGTTAAATGAATTTTTTGAGTTCGAACTATTTCTCACTAAATGAACTATTGAAAGATTAGGTAAATTGAATACAAGAACATGATTTTATTACAAGAAATTTCTGCTGTTTCTATTAATTAATTGGACGGCGCGTGAGCGTAGTGGTTAGGGGTGTCCTGCCGTACAGTAGGGTCCGATCCCGCGCTGCAACCCCACCAAGCTTTCCGTCCCTCCGAGGTTGGCAAATTGGTGCCGGTCTCCTCTGGGAGGATAGTAGAACCGATTGAAAACATAAATAGGGTACTGTGAGTTACTGTATATTCTAGATCAGCTCTAATTCCAAAGCCTTGAACCACTTCTGACGATGCTTGACGAAGGCAAATACATGTTAAATTCCTCAAGGATTCTTAGACGCTGAAGCTTTATTTCACTGTTTTATTATTCTATTAATTTCTTATTCGAAACAAAAAGTGGAGTTTTTTACAGTGCTCCTTTGGATTACCAGCATCATAAAGATCTAATTATGCCATGGAAACAAATATCTGAATAGTTTAGTAGTTGCTTGTCGGTGGAGTGGCGGACTACTTAGGACTCGTATCATTCAAGGTATCCTGGACAGAACACTATATCTAAAAAAATCACTATAGCAGACTGGTATGATAAAACGCCTATTATTTAGTTTACTATTGATTAGTTTTGGTTCACTTATTTTAGTTTGCATTTCTTTGTCGATGAAGTTTAGTTTAAAAAGAATAGCGAAGATCAGTACTTCAGAGCGATGTTATGGATGGTTCTGAAGTGTTCGATGAGTTGAAAACATCCGTAGCGCTGAGAAAGTATGATTTCAATGGCTGCTTTTGCTCCAACCTAAACTTTGTTTTTTATTGTAAACTAAATGAAGCTTTGATTTGTTGTCAAATTTCAGAAGTATAAAGGAAACTTCTCATCGAAACATTGGATGTTGATATACATTGCCCATTTTACATATTTCATTATAGGTGTACATCCGCTGCCAACATTTCAGCATTTCCTTTTTCTTAACTCAGCCGTACCGCTAGATGACATAACTAAAACGACAGAACTTGACACCTTCTTTTCATTTGCGATTCTACTAAGAATCACGTCGACAGCTGCATACGTGCCGCATCTTGTCGCCCCATTCGGACACACCAACACCGTCGTGCCGTTACTGTTCCTCATTTCCAATTTTGCTTCAACATCTTTAACCTAAAAAGAAAAGCGCAACGACCTTGAATAAAATGCATAAAATTTTCGGTGATCTTTCATTTTGCCTGAATTCTCCAATATCTGGAATAGGAACGTCATTTTGCCACGCCTTATACTGAATAAGTGGCACTCGAAGCAGTTCTTGGTTGCCAGAGAAAAGTTGCAATTCTACCACATCATGATCGCATATCTTCAAATAAAATTCTTTAATGACTTCGTAGAAATTTTAAGCGAAATGATGTGACTCAGATTTTCATTTCGCTTAACAAGAATCGATTCACTAGAAAGTCTTGAGGCTTCGCCATGTGGGCAAGATATACATAAAGTTTGAAAAAGTGTGGTGGATTAGATGTGGAATTTATTGGGTTTAGATGAAACCAACTTTTGAGTGAATCACATCCATGGTACAATCTGCACACGTATGAACACAATTACGTAAGACTACAAATGTGGCTACGTTTACACGGGTGATATTGGTGAAGTAAATGCAATGATCAGATTTAGCTTATTGCTTTGTCTTCGAGCTTGTAGGCTGCGATATGGCAGGATTCGCTGTCATCACAGGAATCACTGTGGTTCTGGAGAAGTATGAGTTGCAAGACAGCAAATTTTCCTCTTATCCAACCAACGTCAACATCTATTCGTGGTGAATGACGACCTGAGAGCCTATATATCGGCTACTGCTTATTTCAAAGAAAAATGCGCTCGATTAGCATTTAACATTTTCATGATTGAAGGCAACAGTGTTAAAGTTGCAGTCCAAGTCACATTACAGCAAGAATTGCTCTACGGATGACGATTGCAAGACAACGATCGAACAGAAAAAGTGTTGGTACTCTCGCGCCATACGAAGGTGTGTCATCTAAGTGTCTAAATAATTAAGTAATCAGATATAAATCATGGATCCATTACATTGAATTTATCTGCTTCAATAATCAATGCTCACTGTTGTCCCACGTTCAGCGTCTCCACCTTGGATCACCACAAGCAGCTACAAATCGGTGGGAGGGAGATCCGTTACCGGAACAAGTTTTGTGGTTCCGGTGTGTATTAAAAATCACTTTGTAAATAATATTTTCCTCTAATACGCTCACCCTTTGAACTCTTACGAGACAAACTCTGATGGAATTCGAGTAAATCTTTTCGCCTTCATGCGACCAAAAGCATCTCATCATTTGTTCGTTACCATCCTGAAACGTTACACTTAATCATCAACTCACCTCAAGAGTGAGGGAGGAAGGAAAAGCTGCGATCAGACTGCTCCAGCATATTTTTTGCCCTGATAGGAAAGGATTTAATGTTGGAAAATAAAGTTTTACCAAAATAGTAGTGCACTACCAATAAAATATGAATAAATAGCTGGCCTCTACACTACCAAGTACAACAATCATTTTTGGATCAACATCGATCACCATCCTCCAAAACAACTCTTCTGTTTCTTCTGAAAACGGTGCTTGGGAGAACACATAACCATCTGTAACATTTCCATTTTTTACCTAAGCATCAACCAGACTTAAATCTTTTTTTGCATCAAATACGTTTTACAAAAATTTGCAGAATACTGGTTCGGTCATGGCAGAGCTTCCACGAAAGAAACTGTTTTCAATTTCGCTCTTAAACACATGTCTTTCGTTGTTCACTTCTGGTTTTCTATGCCATTAAATTCCAGTCTCGTACTCGTCTACGATGTTTCGCATCATATCTGGTGATAATCAGATCTACTATCTCGACTTGAACCTTAGTCACCACTCTTCATAATCACAGCCGTCGCCAACAGGAGTAGTGTCAGACGACTAAAAGTTCATGGCAACATTTAGTACGGTGAGCAACAGCTCAGTTTCAATCTGTGAGGGGGCATTTCCTGGAAATATTAGCTATTGTCTTAGAAGTACATACAAAAAAGATTTTGCTGTATAATAGCACCATGTGGATTTAACAGGTTTTCACGAACGAAGTACTAATGGTTCCCAGGAACTACTTTCTCTTAACCTCGGCATTGGAATATGAAGTACTAATGCTGCCGTGAACACAGAAAAACTTATGAAAAACAGTATTTGCTCATTATTACTTCTTTTTATTATTTTCGCTATTGTTAATATTAGTGTAACCAATAATGTAATAGCAACGATTAGAAAAAGCTAGTGTGGCCGTGGTAGAAATTAGAAGAAATGGGTTAAGTGGAAGGTGATCACAAGACACATAATTGATGAGGCAATCGATAGGCCTTCTTCCCGTGTGCTTGTTTATTCCCAATTATCACACAGTCTAATTTGCACATTATTTGTCTAGGAGCTAAAATTCCGATTTTGTTATATGAAACTTTCATTAATTAAAACCATTAATGGAAACTGATGCTTCGAGAGAGCCTATCTGAAGGTCCACTTTCGGAATTTCACTATTGAAGTGGAAAGAAAAAAACGAAAAAAGTGGATAACTGGATGTCGCAAATGAAATGGACGAAAAGCAAACAGATCGACATCGGTGTGAAATCAGTTCTGCATTTCGTTTAAGCAAGAAAAACAATCCGTTTCCTAATCGAGCTGTGATAGGAAGATAAACAGGAGCGCAGCTGTGGACGCATACGTAACATGAAAAGATTAAACATAAACAGAATTAGACCGAATAGTACTAATAATGCTATGTGCAAGGTCGGACAGCAAATGAAGCACCGTAGCTATCTCGAAGGTAGATGATTACATATATGTTGATAGGCTACAACAAAAGAAGGTGGTAGGACCCTTGGGCAGCTCAATGGTCTAACTATCCAACAGTCCTTCTTGAATCCTATGAAACTCATAATGGTCGAACGTGGTCAAGAAGCTCACAAGCTGAGGGAGAACTGCAATTGTTGTCATGTTTAAGTCAACCGAAATGGACAAGTTCTATTGTAGTACCAGAACTCATGATCACACACGTTGCATAGCACACAGAACACCAGCATGGAGAAGAGCATTACCATTGAAGGAAAAAGGATAACGATGACGTAATCCGTGAATTCCTGACGAATGTTAAGTTGTTAAGCATAGGTTCGAACTGGCGATCGATCCAGGGTGCTCTACATTGCGTCTCTAAGCAGTTCGTAGCATGCCACACTATAACCATGAAACTGGGCTACTTTCAAAAAAAAATCTTCATGCAGTCAAACAGATGTTGAGAATTTAGGGTTCAAGAAGTGTATGAGATCTCGAATGACCACTTTTTCTTTAACGCGTATGAATCACTGAACATGTTAATCACCCAAACTCTAACGGGTTTGTAAACCCATTCAACAACGTCCTCGTTTTGCTTTGGAAGAAATGCCGCTTGTTCAATCGCTTTGCCACTCAAAGCAAAAGTTTCGACAACAAAAATTGACAAGATGGATGACTTGAAGGCCACAGAAATTAGTAAAAAAAAAAAAAAAAGAAGACTTGTTCCTTATCGACAAAGATTTACGGCGTGCAAATCGAATATTACTCATATTTTCCGAACTATTAATGAATCACGTTTTTCAAAAGAGGTTGAACAGCTGCGTTAATCGAACGATAAACTTCCAAGAACATTGCAATGTGTAATGGCACTTTCGTTACATTCAGAGAAGCTGAAAAAAGCGGAGATTTGCCATTCACTTAAAATGTGATCAGATAACTTCGCTCTGAGTCCTTTATACTACGTGACAGTTTGTGCCACCTCCAGTTCAGTTCTGTTAGCCTTTAGATACTCAGCTGTGCCACAAGCAGATGTAATGAGGTCTCAGCAACTCTTCGGTCCCTTTTAGTGGCTTGCCGCCACTGTAATCTGTTTCGTTTGTGGATTCGACTACGTTATGGGAATCTGCCGTCCTTTCCTCCTGTTGGTATTTCAAGAGTTAAATAACGGTTTTCTTGAGGTATTAGATTCTTCTTCTGAAATTTTCATTTATGTTCGTGCAGTAACCCTAAATCGTTACGGTACGAATGGACATTTGATTCCTCTCGAATAGGATACATGCAGGATGACAGCGATGCCTATCAATAGTGGACCAATCGAGCGATGACTATGTAGCAAAGTGAAATCATCTACTGAATTGATAACTCTAGTCATGTGCAATCGTTTCAGCTTGTGATTTTGAGAGTGCACATACCTTTTCGTTCGTAAGAATCCACATAACTGGCATGACAATAGTTCCCATTTCCGTATTTCGTGCTCAATTTCACTCTTGATCTGTCGAGGCATAAAACATCCGGAAAACGGTTAAGGGTTGGATTTTCCAAAAAACTGTCGAACGTGGGCGGATAAAGTGTTATCCGTTGGTGCAACTCTTTGAAGACGTTTATCTGAGAAAAAAAAAGCGTTGATCCACCTAATCTCAACCAGTTATTGAAGAAAAAAATTGTAGTGAATAAGAATGCGTCATTTTCTTGTTCAGCAATCGCGAGGCTTTTAAACAGCATACATTTACTTCCGTAGAAAACACAATACAATACAATGCTAGCTGACGTTTCGGAAGTATCGCCTTCTTCAGAGCCTGGAAGGGTATGCTGATATACAATCTACTAGGCCAAACGCTTCAATAACACTTACAAAAAAACGAAAAACACTCTGGTAATTACATGAATTAATTCAACCACATGCGACTATAATCATCTGTTCCAAACTTCCTCATTGGAAGTCGCGAAAAAGCGGTGGGTTTTTTCGAGAAGTTGTTGATCATGTAATTACCAAAGAGTCTTTCGTCTTTTTGTAACTGTTATTGAAGCGTTTGGCCTAGTAGATTGCATATCAGCATGCCCTTCCAGGCTCTGAAGAGGGCGATACTGCCGAAACGTCAGCTAGCATTGTATTGTATTGTGTTTTTTATAGAAGTAAATGTATGCTGTTTAAAAACCTCGCGATTGCTGAACAAGGAAACGACGCATTCATATTTCTGTGCTGAATAAGTACTATTTTTGAATGGAGTGTTTTTAATCACTCTTTACCCCAGATTTTTTTTTCGATAATAAGTTCTCAATAAAATCGCTCGGTTTAAAGCTTTTTCGACTGACGCTTTGCTGAGCTTCTTCACTCGAAAACTGCGTAGCGTTTTGTGCTGAAACAACTGCTTACAATTATTACCGGTGTAACCATCGTTTTTATCATTATCATTCTCGCTGTCACGATCACTATCACTATCACCACCCACGTTACCGTCTTCGTCAACATTTTAACACTGGTTTAGATGGCCACGTGGCGTTATAATCTGAGCAAAAATATTCTTGGTAAACGAGATTCACTTTCACGTGATCGTTCTATGCAGTTTACACAGATCATTATGGGAATTAAAATTGGTCATCTAGTCGTGAAGATCTATACGCAGCTACGTCCGCTTCTCCACAAATATGCACTTTCCAACCACTGATCCCTTTGAATTCTTCTCATTAATTTCTAACGAATGAGAGACGATACCACCAAATATTAGGTGGGACCCTTCCTTAGCTCTAGTGAACATGTGGATCACCTGAGCATCGTACACTTGACGTTACACCATTAGGAAGCCATAACAATAAAAGTCTTCTGGGTATAGCTATTCATTAGAATTGTTACCATCGTCAAAAAAATGTAGTCGTATGGTTAGTGGACATCATACCATCAGTGCACAATTGCTGACTACTGGCTGGGTTCAACAAACCAGTTGAACGGAAAATATAGTGGCAACATCATGATTCTTTACGAGGAAGATCTTTCATTACGAATAGAGTTTTCGTTATAGTGTACTACTTTTTTTCGTAGAACACTACAGTAAAAAGTGCTTAAACTTACGTCGTGATAATAAAATAGGTGTAGATAACGACATAACGCTTTATGCTGTGAACGAAAACTTAGAAATGAACTCTAACGTACACAAGAACATGTTTGCCTAATCTGTTAGATGATAAGAACGAGGTGCTTGCCCTTGATCGAACCTTCTAAAGATTCGCCATGCATTCGGCTACACTAGGACGTGACTGAATGCATTTCTGGCTTACAAACTGACATTGATGCATTAAGGATGCGTCAAATCATCAATTCACTGTTTCTATCCTCCGGAATAAGTCTGGTAGTAATCTGTAGACCTTTGAGGAATTGCCCGAGGGTTTGAATCACCAAGCACGTGAGTCACAGTAACACCTCTTGCTAATGCCTTACAGGAGGCAATCGATGTTGTGTGGTAACGTTCGAAATTTTAAGAACGCTTATTTTCTATAAATTTTTGCTGACGACTATTTGTATTGTACCTAGAAAGCTAATCTTTGTAGATTATTTGGAACTTCTGAGATTTTCGCTAGGCTTGCATTCGGTGCTTGAGCTTGGTTGAGTTCGACTTTTTCAATACTCTTACTCTAAGTAGCCGAACCCAAACAATTCAGAACAGAAATGTTCGTGTAGTATTAAAAAGACTGGAGTTTGTTCCACCTTTTTCCTCACAGCAGTTCGCTTACTGTTTTTTAATGTTAGTGATGAACATCAAGTACATTAAACTGCTGTTGTACTCAATAAAGTTCTTTTTCGTCGTAGTATATTGCCGTTCTTCACACAAGCACTCCCACCAGAACCTTCTTTTATTCGTTTTTAGTTTTTATAGCCTAGTTCTTCCAGTATTCTGTGTGGAAGCATGTGAAACTTTCCTTTATGCGTTTACTAGTCCAAGCTATCAATTGCTTTGGACTGAAAAAGTAGCGTTATTCTCTTTGTGGTATAATTCGTTATTCATACTTCACCTTGAGAACGATAAACGCCGGAAGAGGTTTTTAACGTCATTTTATAGAAACATCGTTATCATAAACGATAATGCTCTTAGTTGGAAAAACTTACATTGTGAAGCGCATAGAAGAAAAACAACGATCGCAAAATGTCTTCTTTAAGGTCTAACTGTACTCGTGCGTGATTTAACACACTTATCTGACCTATCGATTGATTTATTTCCCCCGAGAAAGTGGCGATTGTGTGCTTCTACACATAACACACTTTACTAGTCGACAACGAGGAAAAAACACTTAGTTTTCAAATTTTAAATTACTGAAGTATTCGAATGCCTTGTTTTACAATCATAAGAGAACTTCACAATTTAAATCCTTTCATGAAGACGTAGCAAAAATTGTATTGGATATTCGGGAAACGATTCAGTGTTCTTTTCCTTGCATTTCTGTTCCTGTCAGTTTTTGTAGGAACATGCATTAGTTTCCGTTTCGGTTCGATGTCTCCATAATTGCAACGTTTTTCTGGTTTTCAAGTTCTCAAATCCCGGATTTTCTAGTGTTTTTGCACAACGTGCACTTTCCTACTGAGCGCGAAAAAAGGAGAGCGAAACAGAAAACGCGCAGCCTTGCACTGAGCGAGTTATTTAAAACGTTCTTTTTGTCACCGATATAGAGTGTAATGTTAGTTCATAGTGAGCTTCTTTCGGTTTTCTTTTCGTTTTCTTTGACGCTATAGAGAGAGAGACAACTACAGCAAAATGACGGTTCTTAGAGATAGATACTAGTGATGTTGCGAAAAAGTGATACATGAATGCTCTGTTCTTCATGACTTCTTTTTTCACAGCTGAACATCAGCTTCGTCGTCTATTTTATCATATCTCGCAGGTTAATTCCGAGAATTATCCATCAAGCGATAGCTCTAGAGCTTGCGTAGCGTAGCACTTAGAGCGCGTTTTTATGCAGTCGACACGGACCATTCATTTTAAGATGAATGACGAGCGGAATTTTCGACGAACAAATCTATAAGATGGAAACCGGTATTGCCGTCATTGGTGATTCTTTCAAACGCTCAGCTATCTTTGCCTGTTGTTATGCTTCATTCCGTATGCGTATAACGTCGTATCAATCCTAAATGTATGCAAAGTTTGAAGGACGAACTGACCTTCGACTTGTCAGCAACGAAATATGATTGATCAAATACAGCACATGTATTAAAAACCATTACTAGCAAAAAAACATATAGCATCTTAAGGAAAGACGCTACACTACAACCATGTCGAAAAGAACATCCTAGAAGCCCTTTATCAAGCTGTTTTCATTTATACTTACTTGGATACTTGGACGGCCTGTCCTCATTGGGTGTGCGGACCCTTAGATAATTTCTGTTCTTCAGAGATTTGCTGCTTTAGGCATTGTGACTCCCTGGTGACTCGAGGTCAGCGTAGCCAAAGTCTGCCCCAGGTTACTCCACACCACCACAGGCAGTCGCAGCCCATGTAGATCAGAGGGAGATTTACCACTATGCGACTGGCTTGATATTAGGATGGCAGTGGATCCTGATATTGGGTTACTCTTAGTTGGCCTTCCTGATGGAAATGCCCCACTCCTCAGCTTGGAAGACCCTGCCAAGGGAATGAATCCTCCTGCTGAACATCGCAGCTCGACACCCAGCAACACCTCCCAGCCACGATGAGGCGGTTAACCGTTAGGAGGGTTTTCATTTATAGATTATCAAGATTATCAAAACCGATAAAGTAATAGCAGTCATAAATTCTTGTTCAAAAAACGAGATGTAGTCTGGATCCAGACTTGCATCGTTAATGTAAGGTTTAAGAAAAATGTTTTTAATGCAGGGAACTAAATCCGTTCTATGATCCATCCGTAATTTGATGTTCATCGTATGAAATGTGGTACCGAGACAATCGATAAGCATCTCTTTTTTATACCAGCCATAATACTCTACCCCTTATACTCTACGCTACGTTTGGTTGTCAAACAATAAAACGATAACACAGGAGTTTGAAATGATGAGTAGAAATTACGTGCTGAGAATAATTATGGCAAAAAGAAACGACAGATTAAGGTGCACTATGGCAAGCCATTTATGTGGATTTTATTTCAGCTCTTAATCCAGACAAAAGCTTCAGAACCGGATCAGAAAGTTCTGCTTAGTATTCAGGAAGCAGTTGAAAATTGGAGTATTCGTTTTTTCCTGCTAACGAAAACCGGACCTTCACTTATTCGCATACTACACATGTTTCTTAGATTTGTTAGAATCACTGGTCATTCAAGAAGATATCGGTTTTGACGTTATTTTCTTGCCTACAGATAGCTTATATTGGTTTAACTCAGATGTATTTTTTCGTTACTGCTGACAAGGCTCATAAACTGTGCGTAGTCAAGGGAGTACTGATTCACTTCCCATCTATATACACGTAGTTGTACCTATAGGATACGAGCACGTATGCGAATCATATTCTGCTTTTGATTTGGTCCATTTACTATGAACTACATGGGAGCCGGCTTGGAGATCAATTCCACGGCTCATCTTCGAAAGGATGGCTAGCGTAGGTTAATATAGCTAACCTGTTTCGCAGAACTCAGCAAACCATCCTTGGATATTCCTGCACCTGTAAATGGACTTTGTGCGAAAAACGTAGTGCTCCTTATGCCCTACGAATGAGCGTTGTCTAACAAGTGATTTTGACTTGCAAAGGGATGCCGTCGTCACTAGTATTAGTAGTAGTACTATTAATCTTTCTATATCATTAGTGTTAGTGTTAATTTGCTATCATTACTACTACAGATAATACCTTGTAATGCCGTTTTTTGTTGTATCGGGGCCATTGTTTAGCCTCTACGCTAAGAAAATTCCTCATTATTAGTTGGTTTGCTGTACATTTGTGATCGATTATTGGGGGAGGAAATCCTGTTTGTTGAAACGGCTCAAGAAATGTATTGACTTTGAGAACTTGTGTAGAGCTTTCATGCGAGACAACGGTTGGATTTGTTTTCTGTGCTAGTTTGCCATAGTTTTTCACGTTTTGTCCAGAACAAATGAAATTCCTTAACCTAAATAGGGCTGGTTTTCGTTCATTACAGCTAGACATCAAAATCGTCAGATTCGAACGATTAATGTAACGTATTAGTGGAATTCACATCGCAATCTTGATTTGATAATTAACTTGAATCTAGGATTTCTTCATAGATAACACCGGTTCGCTTCTATGGCTTTTCTGATATGATGAAAGACTTTGTTCGTAGGTGATGAAAACGATGATAAATTGCTCAACTGATGAGTTTTCGATACAACAGCAATCAAAAGCATGGGAAAGAGCGCAGGATCTGTTCGGTGACGACGACATGATATCAGTTTGAAGCCACTCGGCGACATGTCCATTGAAGATTACCTATTGGCATATTGGCCTTTTCTTTCGGATTCAGAATGTGCGACGTTTCTAGACCATAGATACGTGGTTAGAAACTGAATGGTAGTCAAAAGGCAGAAACAACAGAAAACGGTCTAGATTTCATGATCACATACGAGGATCAATATCTCAGTCATTATCGTCTTAATCATCATCATAATCATCGCCGAAACAATTAGACTCTGTCCAGATAGCATCTTCATACAAAAAAAAAACAAGATAAATCTGATGCAAGAACGAGAACTATTCAAGCAAACTGGACAATAGAATTAATAGCGAGCGTTATGTTTCAATTAAAGTGCTAAGCACTATAGCCTTATGAGACTTCACAATGTTTGTAATCCGTTGATGTTTTCGATTGCCATTGTTCTCATAGTCTGAATAGTTTCATGCCGACTCAGTTTGTCTTGTTTTAAACTAATCGTTATGGACAACCAATTATTTCAGCAAGTCTTATAAGTTGTGATAAACAATAACACACAAACAGTTGGAAAGCACACATTTACAGAATATTCGAGCCATTCGCTGATAAAATATGTTCTCCTTTAAATAAAATACAACTAAATCCATTCTCTAAGGTATGTGACACTGTTTGTCATCGATTAGCAGCTACTACAGGTAGTTGTCATCGCTGTAAGACGTTATTAGTTTGGTAACACGATGCTTGTGGTGTAGTAGGAGAATATTAGATACCGTTCTTCTCGTTCATCTCATTCTATACGTTGCAACGCAAAGTGAAATTGCAAGACCTGACTGAAGAGCAACCGGCCAGAAGAGTGTTCTTTTTTATGTTCAGCACGTTCGTCTTGTATGTGTCTAATTTCCTTCCAGTTATAGAAACTAATTACATACACACACCTGCTGATGGAAGTCGCTTGAAGAAAATCAAGAACAGCTTCAAATGCTTCAAAAACTATGAAAGTGACAGCAAAGTGGCAGCAGTACAGCTGGAGTTTTGAGACGCCACTATTCCGATAGGGTTATAAGATTTGTAACTTCACAGGAAATGCCGTTAGGATCGACATCGGAAGAGATCTATAGATTGCAAATGGTATGACGACACGCAATATTGTTAATATTATTTCATAAAAGTTGAAATATCAACGGTTTCTCACCATCTTCAAGGCGAGCTGAAACTTATTCCAATACACTACGTAGATACATTCGAAGATGAATGTACTGTTAAAGAATATTTGCGCTCAGTTCAAATCTACATATATATATATATATATATATACATGTACATATACGACCCGTTTTCACGTCTACTGTGTCAGCACTTCTCACATTCGATTCGTTTCCTCGCATCCACTGTTCTCGAAAACCTTTCAACTTTTACGTGTGGCTTCTTTGGCTACTGCTTGAGGACTTGCACCTTGTCTTGAATGTCTTAGAACGCTGGTTTGCTCGATTCTCACTGGAGTCCTGAGATGGGCGAGGTAGAGCGTTCCCAGTTGGATTGCAGACAGTGATTTTTTTCCCGGACAAATCCGGTACCGAATTCCCAACCGCGGAGAGAGTATAATCTTGGTGCGCCCAGTACGTGATCGGACTGGCACTGTGCTGGCGGTGACCGGCATCACTACCACTGTGCTATGTGGTCCATATTTTGTACTAGGTCAGCAGTAAAATGCAGATTTTCACGCGAATAGCAAATGCGCTAGTCGATGTGCCAATGAATTCGGATGAGAAAAGTAATGTTTTCATTGTTGGAATTGCCATGGAAACACACTTTTTCGTCCCTCGGTTTTACATTTTGTAGAACTGGAGGAACAACTACGGATGTGGATTTTTCCGTAGATATCTGATGAAGGGATATGACGGGAATAATGGAAATTATCGAACTGTCTACTTTTCTTTTGTATGGAAATCCGATATGAATGCATCGTTTTCTTGTTCAGCAATCGCAAGGTATTTAAACAGCATACATTTACTTCCATAGAAGAACACAATACAACACAAGACTAGCTGACGTTTCGGCAGTATCGCCTTCTTCAGAGCCTACTGATATACAATCTACTAGGCCAAACGCTTCAATAACACTTACAAAAAGACGAAAAACTCTTTGGTAATTACACGATCAATAACTTCTCGGAAAAACCCACCGCTTTTTCGCGACTTCCAATGAGGAGGTTTGGAACAGCTGATTACAGTCGCATGTGGTTGACGACTACACCATCCCACATCAAACACCTAGATGGCAAACGAAAACTAAGACGAAGCACCCTACTAGGCACCCATAGGATACAAAAGCATAGCGGAGACGATTTTGAAGTAAAAGTCAATATCCTTGCACAGGAGTCCAAAACACCAGCGCGAAAACTTCTTGAGGCTTTTTGGATAAATGCCAAAAACCCTACAATGAATAGCAGGGACGAATGCCCGGAAGACCTGATCCCGTATGTTCGCATCGATTTTTAATGTGGGATGGTGTAGTCGTCAACCACATGCGACTCTTCTAAACTTCCTCATTGGAAGTCACGAAAAAGCGGTGGGTTTTTTCGAGAAGTTGTTGATCATGTAATTACCAAAGAGTTTTTCTTCTTTTTGTAAGTGTCATTGAAGCGTTTGGCCTAGTAGATTGTATATCAGCATGCCTTTCCAGGCTCTGAAGAAGGCGATACTGCCGAAACGTCAGCTAGCGTTGTATTGTATTGTGTTTTTTATGGAAGTAAATGCATGCTGTTTAAAAACCTCGCGATTGCTGAACAAGAAAACGACACATTCATATTCCAATGCCGAGGTTAATAGAAAGTCGATCCTGGGAACTATTGCAAATCCGATAGATCGTGAGACACACGGAGATGTTCAAAACATGAAAAGTTTTCGAGCAGTTTAGCGGTGCTGTTTGCTTTCGTTATAAGACCACTCAAGTGGTATCATTTCACATCCAATATTATGATAATAGCACTCCGTTCCATTCTTCTACGATCGATAACCGTTATTCTATTTGCAGGAAGTAAGCATTTTCGACAGTTTTGTGGTTCTCCTAAAAAATAATTTCCCTTAAAAAAGCTTTTCCTGATTGCACAAACGAGCGAAGAAGATCCGCAGGGAAGCCTAGTATTAAAGACAGATTTCCGGAGAAATATGGAAGGAAGGTGATGGATACCGTGATTCTGGGCTGTTTTTCATCGCAGCTCAACATTCGAACTCCTTCAGCACTAGCTAATTCTTCTCCACAATTTGAAAGACATGAAGTCACTTCAACTTCTATACAAAGCGTTCCTACCTGGCGAATACAAGTGAATTTTGTTCCCTTGGATTTAAAACCATTGAAAATCTTTTCGTTGATTACGCTGAGGTAAAATTTAATAGTTTTCGCCACTTTCCGACCAGAAACAAGTGCAAAACTGCAACTAAGCCACGGTTGTAGGGCTGCCAATTGGTTTTTTTGGCGATTCAGGTAATGTTGGAAAAGCGGTTTCGACGCGATTGATTAGCATGCGCTGTAAGCTGTTTGAGAACACGATGACCAATCTGTTGTATCCAGAGTCATATTGAGTTTTTTGCCGTCGACGAACACGAAACAAGTGGGCGGGCCGAAGAATATAAAGCAGAGGTGGTGTGGTCTTCTTCGTCTTCGTCTTAGTCATCGTCATCGTCGTCATTGCCTGCCTTCAATCGTGCCCGTGATCGTTCATTTGCATCAACAGATGAGATGGACGTGCGCTCAGACAGCAGTGTAATATTCAGGGTCGTTCGAAGTCGTACATCTATCGAGACACAAAATTCAGCGCTCCTATCATGCGTTCGATCTAATCTTCCTGCTGTTCATTTAAAGTTTCATGTCTTGTCATGTGTATGAATTCAGTTATACAAGTGAGCCCATCTATTTCTCAATTCATGATCCACTTGTCTCGAAATAGTCATGGAATTTGCATACCTATTTTGAAAAACTTCAAACATTCTCTTGAAATTTGACATTTTAAGGCTGGCCATAAGCTATGAAACAGCGTTTCTGAGATAGAAATAGCTAAATCTCTTATCTTATGGTGAGCTTCAGATGCAGGAAACGTCCGTCATCGCATCGGTATCGTTGATGGCCGGCGCGATCTCACTGTTTGGAGTGATGATATTTCTTCCACGCCTCTATTGGGAAATGGCCGATCTGCGTGACGAAGTATTCGATGCCGTTGGAAGTTTTAAGGCTAGTTCTAAGAATATTACTTGCTTGATTCATTTTAAAGAGTTTTCAGTCGTGCGTTTTATCATTAAGGCTTCTGATGTTTTGTCATAACAAAATTTAGGTTGAAACTGATTCATCATGGATAGAACTGATGGATGTGCAATTAACTCACACTCCACCTTCAAAACCGCGAGAGAATCCACTTTTAAGGAGACGTAAACGGTATGACATTTAATAAAGAAGGTTGAGAGATGAAGTATTGGCGTTGTATTCAACCAGTGAGAGATGCGTCACAAATTTGGCTTCGTCAAGCATCAGAGAGATGATTGAATGCATATCCGACCTACAAAGTGACTGGTAGTGGATTATCGATGTTTCAAGTGAGTGCTGCTATCCACTCAGGCAATTTCAACAACAATACGCAGTATCCAGAGGAATTCATTGATTGGCAAGGTTGGCGTACAGCGTCCAAATCCAAAGATCCATTCCAAGTGGCAGGTCAGAGTGCTGGGCGGTCGCCAAGAACTCCAGGGAATCAGCATCCAGCAAGCGACATTAATGACGAAAACAAAAAAAATTTTTAAACAACACCCGAACACACGCGAAATGTTCGAAGACTTTTGTGGACGATGGATGCGAGGAAACGAATAGGGTGCAAGAAGTGCCGAGATCCGCATAGCAAATAGGATGGCAGGTCGTATGAAATAAAAGTGAAAAATACTAATGAAAGATACTTGAGTTGAGCATATGTTACCAAAGATAAGCTTCAGATTTGCGGACCTTCCTGAGTGGTGCCAGTGCGACATGATACCACACTGTCCGCCTGGACCACCTGGACCACCTGGACCACCTGGATTGGCGGGAAGTTAGTGATTGCTCCAATTCTGGTTGATACAAAATGTTATTGTTAGAAAGTAGAAATCACCGAGTAAATAAGTAAAAGGAAGATAAAAAAAACCAAGGACGTAAAAGCAAAATCAGAAAACGTAGTTTACAATTACTATTGACGAGCTTGCAATAAGAAAGAAAACTTTTTACAAGAAAAGATTTCGAAGAAAAAAATAAAAAACCATGGGCATATTTTCACTGTGAAGACGTTTGTTTTAGGTAACACATAATGTTTCAGTCGCTGGTATTCCTGGTCCGCCTGGATTGGACAGCGAAATTACAGGCGCACAAGTGACGAGTTGCCTACCTCCAATGGGATGTGTTAGATGTCCACCAGGACCACCAGGACCACGTGGACCGGACGGGATTGCTGGACCACAGGGTACTCCAGGCATTCCCGGTGCTCCAGCCTTGGGATATGGATTAGGCCGTGGGCTGCCCGGACCTCCTGGACCGCCAGGAGATCCAGGTATGGATGGAAGACCTGGCATTCCAGGTCCTCCAGGATTTCCTGGCAGAGATTCCACCAGCTACTTTAAGAGCCGCGGCCCCCCTGGCCCACCTGGTCCTCCAGGCGCTCCGGGAGTCATGGGTATTCCTGGTGCACCGGGATTCCCCGGATTAGCCGGACCACCTGGCCCAATGGGAGAGCCGGGTCCTGATGGACCAGTCGGTGAGCCTGGAGCAGATGGCATTGTTGGACGACCAGGTATTCCGGGAAGGGACGCTGAATACTGTCCATGCCCACCACGTACTTCGTATCTTCAGCATAGGAAAGCGTAGTGCTACTGTTTTCGTCTATCGTGCATTGCCATATTTATTGCACTGTCCAAATAAAGGATTTGATTCCAAGAACAAATTTTGTCCAATCGTTTCGTAACTGGTGCACACCGTACTTCGTTGTTCCGGAAGCGTACAAGTGCACAGATAATAGTACACTAGGCTGCTGATTTTATGCTAGAAAGTCATTTTAGGCTCAAACCTGAGATCACTAAAGGGGTAGATTTTTGGTATTCAAAAATCGCCCAACAAAGATTTACGTCTATGTTGCGAAATAGTTTTCTCACAGTACGAATATGAATTCTTTTTTGACATATGACTCAACTACCACTTAACTGTACCATAAATGACAAATATGGCGATTGCCTCAGGTCCATATGGTGATCTCAAGTGCAGAGTGCAGATCTGTGAGCGCGCGCCCTCGGCGTATCGTTCTACTTCAACGGATGTATTGGTTGTTAGACTCACATTCACATCTTTTTTTTGAATTCATGAAAATGTTACTCATGCATGCGTTTATACATGTATCTATGTATATGAGTATGTATGCATGTATGTATGTATTCATGTATGTACGTGTGTTTGTGCGTGTGTGTGCTTGTGTGTTCATCGGTATGGTTGGTGGGTATATA